AGAGAGAGAGAGAGAGAGAGAGAGAGAGAGAGAGAGAGAAAGAGAGAGAGAGAGAGAGAGACAGAGAGAAAGAGAGAGAGAGAGAAAGAGAGGAGAAGAGATCTATATACGATTTAAGAGTATTTTACGAGATAACTTTGTGGCCACAGAAATTTATCGCTAAGAAATAACGTATCCTAAGGTTTAAGAACACGCGCGCCATGTGAGAGTAAGTACCTCTCCGCTTGCAACGAAAGAAAGAGAAAGAGAGAGAGAGAGAGAGAGAAAGCAAGCAAGAAAGAAAGAGGGAGAAAAAATATCTTCAAGGTCCAATTACCGGTCTGCATTCGCAAAATAAGATTTTACACCGTTTTTATTCCCTTATACCGGATCAACGATCGGCTATATCTCCCATTCAAATTTCATCCTATATCATCAACGCAATCTATATGCCAAATTTTTTCAACGACTTAATAATAATTAGATGTCAAGTAACGATGATACGTAAGAAACAAAATGTTGTACGATGTATTAAAAACACGTGAGCTACCCGCCCGAGTATAATCTCCGTTGTATTTACGGATCTACACCTCTTTATATTATTTTTCTCTTTTAACTCGGAGAAGAGATTTCGTCAGTAAGATAATCTATTCTTGAAATATTTTTGCAGATTTTACTCACCTTGTATCCGCAATCTCTTGTGTAAATGTATGTAGAAAATATGCGTAGCAAGAGAAGAGAGAAAGTATCTATTATATTTTATTATTGTTATTATTTTATGATTACACACTGATATTGAATATATATATATATATATATATATATCATCGCTCCTGTAATCTAATTATCTATCATTCGTATCCAGGATAGGAAAAATGAATACGTAACGATCCAAACTTTTGTAGACTCAATCAATATTCGTTAGATCTGTCAAAACGCAGTCTTATATTCGCATCTTTCTCGTGTAACAAATAGTGTTGTAATAATAATATATACATACATACATATATACTTATATACAGAGTAGCATTAAGAGAGAAATATTCGATTTCAGCTTCTACTTTTTGATCGTGTGTTTTTATTTTATTGTATAAAACAGTCTATGAGATGTGAAGAAAGAAGATATAATAAGAAAGTTGGATTGTTCCTTTTGTATGAGAGAGGTCACTTGTTTCGAGGATTGATCCATTGTCACACTACAATTAGCTTTAGTGAGAATTACGGTCTCGATTCTTTGTTTTTGTTAATATTTTTTACAATAAAAAGAGTTAAGTGTGTGAAGCTGAAAAATTGTGTAATACTCAAAAAGAAGAGGATATCGAGATATGCATAAAACGAAGTTCGTGTATTCGAAGAAAATAATTTGAGTTTGTTTTTGCAATGTTGTATGTGCAATATTAATTGTGTGATTATTCTCTGCGAAAGCGAATTCGTCAAATGCGAGACAAAATGCATTTAAACATTAAGGTCGGAAACAGAAATCGTCTCGCTAATTGTGTGTTAATATTTTTTGATAACTTATACAATATTCAGTGTTTTAAAATCGTATTGCTCGACATATTTAACAATTTGAACAAAAATTGCGAATGCAAATATGATACATATCTTCGTCTTTTGCTATTTCTGTAATGTTTATACTAGTAATATTTATATGTTACAAATATCAATGTATATTGTACATTAACTCTTTGCGACAAAACCGCTTGTCCGCGGACACGCGTTGTCCGCAAAGAGTTAATACAGGTGGTAAAACGAAAGTCGTAATAATAATTTTACATTTGTAACAACGTAATATATTTATAACAAACATTTACCGGAAGATTAGGCGCGGATTTTAGTGTAGCAGTGGAGCAATCGTTTTGTTATGTCACTTGTCATTTTTACGTCTTGTTGTTTTGTTTTACTGAAAAAAAAAAGAAACAAGTTAGTCATATCTTTGTATAACCTCACCCACGAAGTGTATGAAGTGTATGTCGTTTAATATTCTTTTTCCACAATTACAGATGATTATACAATAAATAACCATTGATTTGTAATATACACAACGGCGTTTTGGCGCTCGCGACTGCCTGAAGAAACGAGAAAGAAAAAATCACATCGTCCTTAAACACCGCGTTCTCGATCGTTATCATTATCACGACAGGCTGAGTGGAAAGAAATTTTACGATTAACACACGAGCAAACCGTTGCGGTATCGTACGCGCGCGATGTCGTATCGAGTTTCTGTATCTTCTTTGATGACTTTTTTGAACAGCCGCGCGGTTACATCGACGGTAATACAAATTCACTCGTCAGAAGAGATATGCCTGATGAAACAATCAGTGAGTGATTGTTAAGCTAAGTAATCAATAGTATTTTTTAAAAGAATGTAACGCTTTATATATACGAGAATCACAACTCTCACATATAAACATTATTTTTCATTGTACAGTTAATGTATTTTATCACATATTAAAAAAAAAAAACAAAGAAAAAACCATGACTTGCAACGTACGTGTTTGTGTGTATTCTAGACATAATTTTTAACAAGACGCGCCAGATGACAATGTCGCAATCTCGCGAGCGACGTTACCGCTCGAGATAGAGCGAGCCGTGTCTTCGTTCTCATTTTTGTCCCGGCGCGTCGAAGGACGAGGGTGCTTCACAAGCGCATCCGTCCTTTTTAGCCGCAAAACGCGCTGCTATTACCTCCGGAAAAACCCGCTGTATCCGTTTGCTGCGTTTGCGAGCAGCGATGCAACGAAGTCGTCGAGACGCACAACAGCTATCGATCACAAGGCAACCATTATCATCATCATCAAGTTAACTTTAAGCGACGTTGGACGAACACTGTCGAACGACGACGTTGAATTTAAAAAAAAATATATACAGTTTCCTTTGTGTAGAAATCGGGTAGCCGACGACAAAGACTGCGAGAAACTCTGCAGGTCTGTCTGATGAAAACTCAAGTAGACGAGATCATGGATGACAAGCAGCAGAGTCTGATGCGACGTCGGCTGAGCTTGATCGGCAACGCGCTCGAGGCCGTTGTTCGGCACATGCAATCCTTGCGAGTATCCTGTCTCACCGCGAACAAAATATTCGATACGAATCATGCGTTCCTCGCCTGTTGTTCTTCTGCGGACTGTTTAGATGTGATACGCTATCGCACATCACAAACAGATAGTTTAAAGTCCTCAAAGGCGTAGTTCTTTTCCTCCGAATAAAAGCAGAAATAATCGTCGCTCCGAAAACGCGATTCTACGTCGAGGGACGTTGCGCGTCTTGTTCGATTGACGATCATGAGGACAGAAAAATCGATTTCTTTCTCGCGTGCGCAAATTTCAAGAAAGCTGTTCGAGAACGCGAATAAACTCGTCGGTGTCGCGGATAAAAAAAACTGCGGCGACAGTACGACGCGATTTTGACGGACTTCCAAACAGAGCGGACGACTCTTGGACGTGGGAACTGCCGAAGAACTTGTACATATCTTGTTTCTTTGTACGATGTTCGAAAATTATCGCGTGTTTAACGACGATAAAACGAACACACAAACGGGCTGGAGATTCTCGAGCAAATCTTTCACAACGTTACACGGCAACATGGATCGTTACAACACGTATGTCGCGACCTTGTGCAAAACTGTTTCCGTTGACTTATTTGCGTCACGTGGCTCATTCAGACACACAGGTGAGTGACATTTATGAAGAAGATGATACACGCACGCGAGCGAACGACCGATTTATATATTTCGGTCTCGTTCGAAGAAAACCATTGATTTTGCATCTCGTAGAGGAAACGCGTGTCTCAAGAGGAAGAATCGAGCAAAGAAGCGGAGGCGCGCTAAAAATATCACGTCAATCACGTGCGGATAAAGCAATAAGCACGGTGTCATATCAGAGAACTGACAAGTAATTAAGAGATCGAATCAAGTCCTAGACGTCGGTCGGAATTATAGGCTTCGCGAAGCCTCACATTTTAAACTTAATCCTCTCGGCAATAACAACGGCACGTGCTTTTCCTGAGACGTACAAAATAGAGAACGATGTGCTTTCGACTTTCAAAAGCGTATATTAAAATTCCTCGATTCCTCGGAAGATTCGTTTCCGGCGCGTTTATTCGAAAGATAACTGTTTTCATATCGCAAAAACGTTTTTCGGTTTTTGAAACGTTTTTTGTTTTTTCAAAAAAAATTCTATTCTATTGTTTAAAATATATGTTAGTCTAATATCTATAGAGAAGACTAGTTTTTTCCCGTATTTTACGTTTCTCTTCAGTATTACAATGTTCATTCACGACGCAATGCAAATCCGGTTTAGAACTTGTGAAATAGAATATTCAGCACATACAGAAAAGAGAATCTCGCAGATTCACGGCAACGCGCTTTCGGCAAATGCAAATCTGACATGACAAAAGCTTCACTCGCGAAGAGGGGATAGAAATATATGCAACAAAAAGGATGAAAAACAGAGATCGTTGTAAAAGATAACGACAAAAATATCAAGCGATTGCGCAAAGAAACGACAGCGACAAAATAATTGCGAAAAAACTGAAGTAAAGAAAGTATTTCATATTTAAAAAAACTTGTATAAAAAAAAAACTGTTGATATTTGATTCTCTTATTTTTTTTTATTTACGCGTGTTATCGCAAAAAAAAGTGCGCCGAGGCGACAAACGTCCCGGCCGGCGCGATGAGATTTTAGCGACGCGGTTTTCCTCTCCGCACAGATTACTCTCGCGCAGCGCCGCAGTTATCTCAGTCGATAATGTAGGAAAAACTTGGCAAGCCAGACCGACGCAGGCGCTACGCCGTTACATTCGGCGTGCAACCTCCCCCTCGGTCGAGTAGCGACCGCGCCTCCTCCCACTCGGCGATTGTAATCTCGTTAGCAGACACGTGCGCACCCCCCGCGCCCTTATCGCGCTGCTGATAATACGCAGGCAGCCAGCCACGAGCGAACCGACTACGAGCTGGTCGTGGGTGCCGTGTCGCGGGGCTTCGCCAATCTGGTTTATTCTAACAAGATTCTCGGCTCGCGCGACTCTTCATAAAAGCTGCGCGCCGGACGGGCGCGGCGCGTGTTGCAAAGAGGAGTCGCTCCGCTCGTGAGGTGTGGGCGCTCGTGCAGCCAGGCAGCAGCAGCAGCAGCAACATAGAGAGAGATAGATAGATAGATAGATAGAGAGAGAGAGAGAGAGGGAATGTGTAAGACTAAGTGAGAGAGAAGATAACCGACGAGCGCGCATCGGAGTGAACTCTCTTTCGCGGCGATTCGACACGTCGTCGTTATCAAGTGTTGTACCACGCGCGTGTATGCCGCGCTTGTCTCGTGTTGTCTTCGTGTCGTGTTGCAGTGTCAGTCGGTGTGTTGGAGCAGCAGCAGCAGCAGCAGCAACAGTACCACCAACAGCAGCAGCAGCAGCTACTCTTGGCGTGTACCACGGAGCGAGCGCGACAGAGAGGAAAGAGCGAAGAGTCGGCGCGAGCGAGACGGTGAGTGTGTGCGAGCGAGACCGAGGGACCGGAGTCCGCGGGGAAGAGAGAGAACGTGAGTACGTGAGTGAGGAGGGAGAGACGGAGCGCCGGTGGGTTACCACACCCAACCAACACCGCGCGAGAGCCGGGGAGCTGATCGCCGAACGTCGCCGTTACGCCGCTCTCTCGGGAGCTCTCTCTGGCCGTGTCGTGTGTGCAGTGTGCCGTACGTGGGTGAAAAACGCGCGCGCCGCGACTCCAGACTCCGTCGGAAAGTGTCAAATCCGTCGGGCACATCGGTGGTGTTTCCTCTGCGCCAAGTGTTAACCCCCCCGTGCCGGGACTCGGGTGAGAGAACGACAGCGACAACACAAGCTCGAGAGAGAGAGAGAGAGAGAGAGAGAGAGAGAGAGAGAGGAAGTGAGTGCGAGAGGTGAGAAGAAGTGCCGTGAAGAGAGAGAGAGAGAGAGAGAGAGAGAGAGAGCGCGGAAGGAAGGAACGAAAGAGAAACAGACACGGACCTCGCCCTCAGCGGGGAAACACGTCTATCCAGGACAACGTCGTGTGGTTAGGCAGGAGCTGTCGACAGGCCGCGCTGTCGTGTTCTCTTCTTCGTACACATAGTGGAGGAGGCGAAACGTGCGCGCCCCGATGGTGGTTGCGTGTGTGCCGCGCGTGTGTGTGCGTGAGTAACCAAGAGAAGAATCACGCGGAGAGGATTACATATGTGTATATAATATACGGATACATTACGTGCATCTCTCGCGCGCTTGGGTTAGAAGATTCGCGTAGTGCGCCTCGGCGGACTCGCGCTCTCTCGGAGCAAAACGTGCGTGCGAGCGTGACGAAACGATACGGGATCTGACAAGAGAAAGGAAGAGAGTGAGAGAGAGAGAGAGAGAGAGAGAGAGAGAGAGAAAGAGAGAGAGAGAGAGAGAAGGAGACAGATTACATTACACACGTACGTACGTACATACAAAGTGCGGAGCGGAGAGCAGCGAAGAAACAGACAGATCGGAGCACCAGAACGACCGACCGCGCGAGCAGTAGGAAACGACAGGCGGCGCGAGAAGGGCTCGTGTGCGTGCGCGTAAACGCGCCGTTGATGCGTCGCTGGCGTCGTCGAGCCCCGCCAGGAGCAACGGCGCTGCGTAGACGCCGCCGTCGTTGAGGGGGGAAAAACACGGGTGCGTCCGTGTCGGGGACGTTCCCCCGTCGTTTCCTTCTTTTTCACCGTCGTCGTCGTCGTCGTCGCCGCCGTCGTCGCCGTCGTCGTCGTCATCGTGGTGACCGTTGTGCTGGTGGTGGTGCTAGTGGTGGGTTGTGTTGTATACTGGAAAGTGAGTGACACGCCGCCGTCGTCGTCGTCGTCGTCGTGGATAGTGGAATTGCCGGTGGTGTGATTAGCAGAACGGAAGAGACAGCGCCGGGACGAAAAAGACGAAGAGAGAGAAAGAGAAAGACAGAGAAAGAGAGAGAGAGAGAGAGAGAAGAGGATAGAAAGAGCACGGGGACCACGAGGACGACGACGAGGCGTCTTTACGTCGTCGTCGTCGCTCGTTCGCCGTCGATAACGAGTGAACCCGTATAAGATCAGTCGGGATCAAATCTCACTCATCAGAAAGACCATCCGAAAAAAAAGAAAAAGAGAGAGAAAGAGGAAGACCGGGTTTCTCTCGCGCTGAGTTAACGCGCGGCGAAGATCGCACGCGACGGCGAGATCGGCCGAGTGTAATTTGCCGTGCGCGTGGAAAGTGAGAAAGAGACCGATAAAGAAGAGCTGCAACGAAGGTCGCCGCCGGTCGGCGAGCAGCACTCGTTGTCACTACGAGAATCACACGTAACACTCTCTCTCCTGCTTCTCCTCGATTCGCGACTTCTCTTCCTCGGTAACTTTCCTACCTCTCTTCTTCGAACCATTCTCCTCTCTTCCCTTCTTCTTTCGCCGTTTAACTTTTTCCCTCCTCCGTCAAAGGAGGATCTCACCGTCCTGAGCCATGGCGTGCTGCCTGTCGGAGGAAGCAAAGGAACAGAAACGCATCAATCAGGAGATCGAGCGGCAGTTGCGGAGGGACAAGCGGGATGCCAGGCGGGAACTCAAGTTGTTGTTACTCGGTGAGTATAGTTTCTTAGTACGTACGTATCTCATATGTATCGGCTGTCAAACCGAAGTATCCGCGGAGCAGCCGGTCGGGCCCCAGTGATGTAACAGTGCGAACGCTTCGGGTTTTTTCACCCGATACATTCCGTTGTTTTTTTTTATTTTTTTTTTATTTTTTTATTTTTTATCGAGAAACGCGCAAAAACTTCGGATTCTTCGTCGCGTTAACGTGTCGTCGCGTAAATTCGCTCCGAAAATAATGGAAAATTGCGTAATTTGACGTTAACGCGTCAAGACGGCGCGCTTTTACACTCGCCTGAGCGTTTGTATCGTTACTCGTCTTGAGGGGAAGGTGAGTATAATTTGCCACTTGACTTGACTCCTCGCTATCTATAACACATTGTAAAGCCGTCATTAGTTAGGGAAATACACATGAAGCGCCGCGCTAAAAGCGGATGTGAGTATCGCGAATCGTTTGCTCTCTCTCTCGCCTCTTGTTGAAGAAACTAACGAAAGACAACAACGCTCGCCGCGAACTTGTGCGTCTGTGTGTGTGTGTCATGAAGACACGGGGAGTTTACATAAACTCGGTTACTCAAGTTAGTTTGCTCGGAGAAAATGGGAAGCGATACGGCTCTTTTCTTCCGTCACTTTTCGAGATACAATGCTACGATTCTTCTCTTTCTCTCTCTCTCTCTCTCTCTCTCTCTCTCTCTCTCTCTCTCTCTCTCTCTCTCGTTCGCCGTCTCATTCAGGACACAACGTATCACTCTCTTAATTACAGCGTCAAGTGTCGCATATTTAAAATCCTGGATAAAGATGCGGATTATAAAAAAAAATTAAGTGGCTGAATATTTCGCCGTTCAATTTCCACTTGGCGCGAGATGCCGACCGATAATTAATTCTCGCGCAGTCGATCACGACGCGCTCACACACACACACACACACACTTTTACGCACGTCCCCAATACGCGTGGCGTGTTATCTCGGAATTTCACTTTAAGTGCCGTTGATTTTTATTTCCAGTAATTCCTCATTATATACGCGTTATCCGCCCATCCCGTTATATTAAATCTCCGAATTAATCAATGAAAAGCGCCGATGACAAAGTTTCTCGGTATACATATATACGTACGAGCGCGACGTCGGCGCGGGGTCAATTAGAGTAATTGCAACGCTGAATAATCACGACACCACCGCCGCGACACACACACTCAGACACACAGCGTGTTAGTTCCCGGTACGGACAGTAAAAAAGCGAGCGATACACAGCGAGCAGCAGTTACGTGTGATAGGAATTGTCGAAAAGAAAAAAAGGTGACAAAAGTTCGTCGTTCAGCGGACGTCGTAAAATGATTGGTAGCACGACGATTGTCGGAGGATAATAAATTTAATTGTGTGTCATCGGCTGTCGTGTCCGCATACGCCGGCTGTCGCGTCCGCATACGCCGGCTGTCGCGATTACCCTGATTGACCCTACGTAACTCCTCTCCTTTTAGAAGAGTCCGCTCTCTCTCTCTCTCTCTCTCTCTCTCTTTCTCTCTCTCGTCCTCCGCTCGCGTTTCATTCATGCGCGCGGCTCTCGCGAGTGATCGCGACGGCCGCGTGACGCCGTCGTCAACGTCGACGCCGGCGCCGCCCGGGATACGACGACGAGTCACGTACGTTTCTTGTCTTGTGCACGAGGTCGATCGGCGCGGCCGGCGTGCGCTTGACAGCTCTCTCTCTCTCTCTTTCTCTCCCTTTCTCTCTTTCTTTCTCTCTCTTTCTCTCTCTCTCTCTCTTTCTCTCTCTCTCGACCGGCTGCTGCTCTCTGCGATATGACCCTCCGGCTGTACAATCGGCTGCGTTGATAACGCTGGTGCGAATTGCTAGATATTTCATGATATACATAATTTGCATACCAAATCATCATTTTTCTGCACGTACAAATTAAAAATTTTAACATTATAACTACGTTAAATTTACATATGTCTCAATTGCTAGCGCAACCGAATGGCTCTAGCTTCTCGCGGATCTGGTTTATATAAAAATTCTGTTCTCATCCACTCTATTTTCTACGCACTCGTTCCTTCTCTCTGTTCCTTCTTCTCTTCCGAACACTGTAGTTGTCTTGTATCTAACATTTTTTATATCTAGAATGTTTTATTCTATTATCTACTTGCTGTCCTGATCTCTTTTTTTTGTTTCTTATTACACAGGCCACGTGTGTTTTCCGTCTTATTCTTATTTCTATTTTTTTTTTTTAACTAAATCTGGTTTCTGCCTTAAAAAACTCTTTCTTCTTCTACTACCCTAGTATTTTCTTTCTTTTTTTTTTTGTTTAAAGTTTCAAAATATTTCACACGTCGCATAAATATAAAGATTACACAATAATTTGAATGCCACCAAAATCATCAGCTTCGATTTGATGTACTGTTGCTGAAGGCTTTTTTGTAATTAATTACTCTCTTAAGTAGAAACAGTTAAAATTTTACTAATCGATTCGTTGTCACAGATTCCCAGAGATAGATAGTTCGAAATGTCAACGACTAAAAGGCGTTTACATTATCAGCTTCGCAACAGTTTTTGAGAATGGCTCAATGGCTGAATTGGTAGAGCGTCTGTTTCGTAATCAGAAGGTTTCCAAGTTCGAGTTCAGTCGAAGTGGTTCCTAGCGCAATAGGCTTTTTTCTACGAAGTAGGACAAGATAGATAAATAGATAGATAGATAGAGATAGAAGCTTTATTTTTGAGGCGCTCTAGGAAGCTTCCCTCAAGCGCAATTTGAAACATAATTTCAAAATTATTAACAAAAATAAAATAAAGTAAAAATAAAAAGAAAAACATTTGTAAAATAAATATATAAGAAAAATAAGTAAAGAAATCCAAAATAAGTATAAAAAGAAAACTAAAAAATAGAAAACAAAATTGAAAACAAATAAAATAATTGAAAAGAAATAAAAGGACAACGTAGAAAATAACAAAGAAAAGTAATTTGGTGCATTTATCATGAAAAAATAAATATCTTCTGCATATATTGTAAATTATTTTAGAAGCATTGATATTTACTGATTGACTCAGTGAGTATGTGCTGATTCAAACAGGAAGTTTTCCAACTGAATGAATTAGTGAAATACACCGATTTTCCGTGGAAGATTATATAGCAACTATCCGCAAACACTCACCAATTTTCAGTGCAACGCACTGATTCTACTTAAGAGAGGTATCTTCGTAATTATTATTTACATACTCTGTGTGTTAAATATATACAGGGTGACAATTTAGTTGAAAGCAAACGGTTATTACTTCGTAACGAGTAGACCGAATAAAAAACGCCATTTTGTAGCGTGAACTTGTCAAATTTTATAACTTTAAGTATGAAATAAATATATAAAATTTTAATAATTTTTAAATACACATTAGTAATATGTATTTAAATTACTAAGGTATTAAAAATTTGTTTTATATTTGTAACAATAACATTTGACAAGTTTTCGCTACAAAGTGGTGTTTTATTCAGTTTGGTCGGTTTACTCGTTACGAGATAATATTTAATTTCACCTAAATTCTAATTGTCATCTTTAAAATTTTAGTTTAAGATTTTCTGAAAAGTGATCTTCGAGAAGGTAAATTTTTGTTATTTAGTTGCAATGTATAACATAAGGAGAGCTCTTGAGTGAAAAGTCTTTTTTTTTTTTTTTTGTTAAAAGCAGCCTTTCGATTCGAGGACTTCGCGACTTTCTGATATGTCAACTTGTAGCTTTTTAACGGCGTATCGGAGTAACATGAGCTCTTTTGTGTTGCGCCGACTCGGCGTATCAAATTCATCTTGCTTATGACCCGATGAGAAGTTGTCGCTCGTTAAGCGCATTGTTTTCCGCGGAATACTCTTTGCGGTTTTGTGATTCACGCGGGCTGCGTGTGCATATTCACTCGTCTATTTTGCGAAACAAAATCCTAAGCGTACTCATACACACACGCGCGCGCGCGCGCGCAGCGTGATTTTCCTGTCAGATGCGAATCTTCGATCGAGCGAACAAATTTTTCCAACTTGTAAGAACTTGCAATTGCACACGCACATTACATCAATACGCACGTGGCCGTGAAGTGATCATTAATTGCGCATTACTCATTAATTCGATAATCGATTCGATGACTGTCATTTTTATTACCGGCGATAATCAGTATTGCTTGTTTATTTTACAGCTGCTTTTTGCTATGTAACGATCTCTCACAATTAACCCTTCGCGGACAGACATGGACATCTTAGATCTCACTCGGAAATTGCGCGTCTCTGGTAAAACTTAGTTTTTTTTTAACTTTTATATTCTAACAAATCTTTTTCTTCCATGAGATTTGGTTTTTTTGTTAACACACGGAATTGTTTAAACTTTCGATTAAAAAAAAACAAAATTTAAAAAATATCGATTTTTTCATGGAGGTATTCGATTTTACAGTCGCGTAAATCTCGCAGACCCGGTTTGTCTGACTCGTATGTCATTTTTGAGATCTGTGCCCGCAAAAAAAATTAACAAATTTGTCGCTGGTGATACGTATCGCTTCGTGTCTGTCATGTGACACTCGCTTTTGAAATTAATACTCGCAACTTTAATGAAGTTGAAATTGTATCGACGCGACAATTAATCCCAGCGTGTTGTCGTTGTTGAAAATTGTTTTCAACGAGTTGCTGTTTGTATATACAAACTTGGAAGAGATATCTGATACTTCTATGGCGCGTGTTGCGGGATCAGATTGTTCTCTCTTAACTCTCTCCGTCTCTCTTTTTTTTTGTTTGTACACTTTAACACTTTCAGTAAGGGAGAAAGAGATCCTCGGTTTATCACAAACTTATACATTTAGATCCAAGTACACGCGCGTACTGCTACATCATACGAATACAAATGCGAACGCTTCCAAAATTTATTCGCACCTGTCGAAATCAATTTTGGAAATAAAGGGTTCAATTAATGCTGCGCCCGCCGGTCGCCGATTCTGCCCTTTCTCTCGTCCGGCCAAGTTTCCGAGCTGTCGA